AGTTGCGCATTGTTTGCAATAATCGCGTAATTGTATTGAAGTGAAGTGAACTGTAATTGTGTAATTTTAACATTCGATTTTACTGTTAATCAGTTTGCTTGTGTTGGCATTGCTGTTGGGAAGCCTTAATACTGTAATATATTCATTTACATAAGCTAAGTTGATTAATCTAATACTGTTGACTTGGTAGGAATGGTATTGTGTTAATGACTATATGGAGGCTGTGGTGTAATCAATATTGAATGTTACAACATTTGGAAATCATGTAATGACGACCTTTTAGGTCTGGCATTTGCAACAAATGATTTGGTTTCTATATACAGCGGATTTGGCATAACTATGCTTATTTATATCAAAGTGTATCAGACAAAATGTAAGAATTGACGACATTTAATGTAATATTAATTCTCACTATTTTTTTAGTCTCTGTTGCGTAATGGACAATGATAAGAAAGGTACACAACTTACGAGCAAAAACATATTTCGGACTAATTGCACAGCGCTTTTATTGCTTATTCGGCCCGATGAAGCAAGAAAAACATGAATTTTTCACATTTGGTATTCTATCGAGTCTAATCTATTTTATTGGTGCATAATGATCTTAGCAAGATCCTGGCAGGTCACGTTTGTCTTTAAAGACAATATTTTAATACCTTCTTTTTCAAAATTTATGAAGTTCAAACTTCTTATCGTAATTTTCACGATTGACTATTTGTTTGACTAATTAATAATTAAATTATTGTTTACCGCATATACAAGTAATTTTACTTTCACCCTATTTTACTTCTATATTGACTCTAAAGTCTTGCAATTATTTTGAAATTAGCTATGTGCCGCCGTAAATGGTTTAATTCGAATTTTACAGGCCTGGGTAACACTGTGTTGAGTTGCGCTTTTGATTTTTTGCCGCTCTCTGAGTTAATGAGTTTGAACTCATTGGATAATGAGTTATAACTCATGACCGGTGGCGATATTTTAGTATATAACAAGAAAAAAATCAACATATTTCTTATGTGCATACGATTGCTTGAAACTTTGCCCAAAACGACAAAATCCGAAGATTTTGAAGAATCTTAAAAAATTTCGTTTGACGCGTTTTCCAAATATTGATTATATGCTTTTGGTCATTTTTTGAGAAAACCTAATTGTTGTCGAAAAAAAACCAAATAACTTTGTTTCGATTTTGTCCCAAATTCAAGGGTAAAACGGGTATTCGAAAAATACTATAAAGAATACCAAACTGTAAAGACGACGACTTTTCTTGTAAAATCCATCTTTTAACTTTTTTGCATAAAAGACTCTCACTTTGCTAGTATTTTACAGTAAAACGTTAGGAAAACCGCGTTTTTCCGTTTAGAGACAGTTTTGTTTAAAAATGTTGATCTAAAAGTGAAGAAACCGGAACCTAAAAAAAAAAAATAATAAACCAAATTATTCACAGAGACAAAAGTGTCGAGTTTTCCGAATAATTCATAATTAACTTTCACTTGTTCTGTTCGGTGAAAGAATTTTGAAAAAAATCTAGGAAAAATTATTACTCCCATTAGTGTCAGAAAAGAAGAAAATCGTCGAACAAATTTTTTTTTCCTTTTTGATTAAAAACTTAGTTTTGTGATCGCTTTTTGAGAAAATCCTAACTGGAGAAGAAATTATTTTCGTTTTCGTCCCGAATTCGACGCTGAAAAAGTTTGTGTAAAATTGCTACAAAGCTATAGATTTATCGTAAATCTTTCGAATCTTAAGTATTTCTAAGTGAAACTTTACAAAATAGAGCGTTTTTGAGTGGAAACTAAAGCAAAAAAAATCCGTCAAAATTAAAAAACAACATTTTTTAACAAGCTGTACGTGCAGTCTTCAACAGAATGGAGGTGACGAGTTTTCCCAATAATTTATTATACATTTTCGCTAATTTTGTTCTTGTTTTGACAGAAAATTATTTGATACTTGTCTCAAATTTGACGCTGGAAAGGGATTTCGAAACTTTTTACAATGGGGACATTGATTTACAGGGCGAAGGACACGAGTATTCTACTAAAATTTATTTAGTATTCATTTATTCAGTATTTTTAAGGAAAACTAGAAAATAAAGTGTTGTCTTCGTAGGCAGAATTGCTTAAAAAAACTTTGCTAAAACTGGAATGACCTATTATAGAAATTTTAAAAATCTTCAGAGCGATGAGGGCGGCGCACTTTCCTAATTATTTTTGGTAAAAATTGTTGCTCTCTGGTCGTTTTTACAAGATAATCTTAAATACTTTCAGTAAAAAACTAAATAAAATTATTTGGTTTTTGTACTGAATGCGAAGCTGAAAAGGGTGTTCTCAAGATACCTGCAACCGATGAATGAGGCGAATTTTCTAGCAAACTGAGTTTTGTCATTTACGGCTGCAAAGACCCCATTATTGTCAGAAAAGAAGAAAATAATCAGCAAATTTTACTTTTTTGCGTTTTTCATCAGTGAAGCTAAAAAACCTAATTTTTTTAACTCTTTAGCTTTCAGAGGAATGGAAGTGACAAATTTTCTAAATAATTTATTATAAACTTTTGCTTATTCAGTTCGTTTATTGATAGAAAATTATTTGATTTTTGTTTCAAATTCGAAGCTGGAAAGAGATTTCAAAACTTTTTACAAAGCGACGAAGGAGGCGAGAGTTCTAATAAAATGTTTTTCATAATTTTTCGCGAAAAATGCCTTAAGATTGCCATTATTTTAAGTAGATCTTTAGAAAATTCAGCATTTAGAAAAAAGAGTAATTCTGCTAAAACTGTAAAATTCTGAAATTTAGCTAGTTGATTTTATTGTCGCCTATTTTTTAAGCAAACTGATTCGATGCCCAAAAATGTTGTCTATTTCCACGATGCTTTATAGTAAATCCTCTATCTGATTGTCGTATAAAGAGCAATTGCCCCTGTCAGTCAGGGAACCATTAAAAATGCTTATTCATATTTATCATCAATATTTAAGTTATTGTGTGCCATTTAAATTTGCATTTCGTTTGGTTTGCCGGCATTTTGCCCTTCAACCAGATATGAATTGTTAGCAAAGAATGTACCTGAAATTTTCGTAATTCAACTGCAATTACATATGTAACAATATAGTTGATTTATGAAAATATTCTTGTAAAAAACAAATTATTATACTACTAGTACTATAATAAGTAGGTAACAAAGTATGTTGTTCGAGAAAATATTCAACAAATAGAAATGTGGGATTTCGATAAATTTTGCTTCTGTAGTCTGTTGTCGAACAGAAAATCTAATTTAGAATTTATAATTAACTTTCATCGGCAGAAACGTATTGCCAGGAATTCAATAATTAATTGTATTGGAGGCTAAGGAACGTTTATGTTAATTACTGAAAGCGACTCATTTGACTTCAAAGTTACACTAACAATGTTCTGACTAACTAGAAGAACGATGAAATATTTCACATAATTATGTATTTAAAATTTGTCCCGGGACACAAGGTTACTTTCAGATAACTCAATTAATACGACACTTTTTTACACTCTTGCACTAAGTGGCTTGATAAATAGCGTCAAAATGAAAAAATCACAGCCACACTTGAACGTAATAACGGGAATATTTTGTTTAAATTCCGTTTTAATATAATGTTTGTCTCAGATGTTGCAGTCAACTAGTTCAGCATTCCTCTTTTGCTTCAAGTTGCAAAAATATTGTTGGCAATAATTTAATCCTGCCATTTCTCTGGATCATTTCAAAACACCTATCATGAGTTAATGTACGAATATTATGTGTGGGGCAAACGTGCTCGCATATTATTCCAACATTTTCAGTTTCTAATACCACAGTTATAAATAATGGAAGCATGTATATTTTAGAGACCTGGAAGTCCGCCACGGCAATGAAGTTCTAAAAGAGAAGTTTTGAGCAAATTTTGCAGCTGGGAAAGTTCGTGTAAAATTGTAACAATCCGTCGAAAATAAACCGACCTTTATTTTTGTTTTATTGAGATCTAATCAACGATCATAAAGACCAGAGCAGCCCATAATGACCTCAAATAGCTGTTTCAAAGCTGAGTTTCATTACAGACGTAAAAGTTTCGTGGAATTGCTAACCGCAGCGGTTTCTACAACGAAACGGCGTTTGGCCTGATGTGGGCTGTGCTAAACTAATTGAGGCCAATTTTCTCGAAGCAGCTTTCAGATGCAAATTGTCGGATTATAAATTTCGCAAAAGTCAAATAAATACGTGAAAGAATTTCAGAAGTTCGTATGTAGGAAATTGCTAAAGCTTAACAACAGCAATGAACTAGTGCATGTAATGGAACTTCTAAGGTTTCCACAAAAGAGTTGATTTCAACCTTTTAGTAATAAAATATGTTTCCACTAAATGGAAATTCAACGCGAAATTTTTTAGATAAAATTTGCTTTTCCAAAAAGAATCCGTCATTCCATCTGGCCTGAAACGTTCTGCATAATGAATTAGACAGCCCAGGCCATTGCAGCTAAAGTAAAGCTCTTAATTTTCAATCCAGCTCTTAAATAATTTATATTGACATAATTCCCTGCCTGGAAGGTCCGATGCGAAGTAAAATTTTGTGGCAGCTTTTGTTTTACGTCTATTGGTGTTCTGGCTTTTATTAGGTCTAATGGATGCCCTAAAATCGTCCGTCGAGAGATTTATATATAACCGGTATCTTTGGTATCGTCGAAAGGAAACAAAAACTCTCATAATGGCAGGCGGTAAATCGGAGCGATCCGACGTATTGAAAATTGCCAGCAATTTGCTTGCATCAGCCTTACCAATAAATAAACATTTAGCACCGGTGGAGCAACATGATACAGAATCTCCCTAAGCGAAACATGAATTTCGTTTTGCCCAGGTTTTTAGTAGTGTGCTCATGCAGTTGTGCAAATGATTAGAATTTCCGACAATTGTTGATCAGGAGAAGATCTGAAAGCAAATTATCATTAGACTGGACACAGAAACTTTAAGACTGAAGTCGAAACCTACTAAAATCCTCATTTTTGTTCCAGATTGACTGTCAACACCCTCAGAGGTAAGTGTGAATTGTTTGTCTACTCAAATCAATGTGGGTCCCGAGAATCCAATTCCAACTTGGGCTTAATCGCTTCAAAATCTGGGCCTTTAATAGTTTTTGTCCTCGAAAAATCAATCGTTATTTGCAATCAAAATTCCGTGTACAAGGCATTGCTTGAAATTAAATGAAGTGGAAGTAAAAGACAAGGCGAAGACAAAATTACAGGAGCCCCTTTCGCAAGTAGTAATTTTTGTTCGGCGGAATTTTAGATTAGTTTGTTTTTCTCTTTAGGCAAAGTTTCCCATTCGTGAAAAGCTGACTTCCACAAGCTTGATTTGCAGAAAGCGCTAAAATGGGATGGATGACAGAACTTATTTTTATGTCAAATTCAGAACTTTATGGATAGTGTGCACATAGATTGGGATATTTTTGAATATAGAACAGCAAATCTGGTCTATAAAATTTGATTAGTTTAAAAGATAAAACGTAAAACCATCAATATTTGAAGTCAGCTGTATTTGGTTCAAGCAGTAAACTTTTTAAGCAGAATAATCATACTGATTTTCAATGTTCTACTTCTTCATTTCGTGCAACTTTAATATTCCTGAGTGGTTCAAAAATTTTAAAACGGTTCAAAATGTCTTTAATTTGTGCTGCTTTTTCGTGGTGGAAACTGACTAAATACTTGCGAGTTTATCTGAATTCTTACCAACATTTTTTTGTTAGAAAGTAAACCCATTTGCTTCAGTACTGTTGGCCCTTAGTTTTTATGTTCATTGATATAGTCAACCATTTGTCCCGCACAACCTTATAACAAAGTGTTAGACGAAATTATAGTGTTTTTCTCAGTAAATTGCGCTTAATAAAATATTACCCCTTGTTTCAGCGAGCTACGTCAGTTTTACTAGACTAATGAAACTCTGAAGAGGACCTGAAGACAATATTATCTATTTCTGCTTTCTTTTCGAACACTAAACCAAAACGTAATGGAAAATAATAGCCCTATTAAACCCGTCTATACATAAGTGCGCTGCACCTTTTATTGGCCTGACTGAATCCCGGTCCTTAATAGAGGTAGTTTTTTATTAGGATATAGTGCAGTAAAACGAAAACTAAAGAAACTTTCGCAAAGTTGATTACGTAAAATGGTCCAGACCTATTTCAGTTTTTGCTTGAAAATGGAACATGCTGCCGAAAATGCCAGTAGATTGATTGATTTTACATTGAATGCTTTACGTAGTTTCGATAGCTAAAATTTAAATTAGATGCGACATCCGACTAGCGATCTTATAGTATTTCACGTTTTTGCGATGTCAGTTTTGCAACAAGGCGGAATCAGTTTAAACTTATGTTCAAACGGGATATATTTCAGTGGTAACCCAGTTTTAGCTCTGCCCCAAAACCAGTTTCCAAAGTCCCTTGGGAAAGCCATATGTTTGGCGCAATTGCATGTAACTCTGAGGTAGCAAGGAAATATATTTGTGATATTTTCGGCTGAAAATAATATCAGCATTAAATTACACATAACGTTTCCGTATCCGTTCCTAGAAACTCACTTTATATCTCCCTTTATAAATCAGATAAATGGTCTAATGTTACAACGTTGGCAATGTGACATAATGGCATTCTCTTCTCGCTTCATGCAATGTTATGGTTATGTCTATCTGCCTTTATTTTGTCGGATTATGCTTTTTGCGTCTCGCTTGACAAAAGAATAACTTTCAAACTCCGGATTTACATAAATGAGAATTCTTAAAACGACTACTCGTCGACGGGGTTGTTTGAGATAATATTATTTCTGTGCATTAAGAGTTGTTTTGTCTTTTCATGCGCTTCGAACTGCGAATTGCGGACCTTCTCTCCCAAATATGACCATAAAGATCTAACTGAGCGCTCATAAAAGCTTATGAAATTAAAAATACTTTATCCGCATTATTAACTCTGTCATAAAGTAAGCAGTATTATGCTCTGAAAGAAACGTGATGTAAATTTTGCAATGGATCGTTGATCGTATTATTGTCGGCAAGAATAACAGAAATGTGAAAATTGAAAATGTAAACTCCTCATACTTCCACGGAAGCACTCAAAACATTTAATACACATATACGGTATAAAAGATTAACGACCCGCCAAGTTTCTATCAAAACAAAGGTTTCGAGACATTATATACATTATGCGGAGCATCACGAGGGTCTCGTTAAATTTTAATCGGAAAAGTTGGAACATTCGTAAAATAGAAGCAAATTGTGGCATTTTTCAACCAAAAATTGCAAAGAAAATGCTGGGGGCGTGAACGCTCAAGCAACTGCACCTTTTAAAACTTACGGGCTACGTGCAAGTGGGTTTTCATTACGGGTAACACAAAAGTTTCATGCAGAATGAGTTTTGACTAAAGCAATCTCACAAATGGGGAAGGCGCTATGATTATTAATATTGTCGTTTCCGATATTGCGGAAATATTAGCTAGTTTATTTGTATTTGGCATGCTATTAAATCTGAAATGCATATGGTATTAAATCTAAAACAAAAGATGGTTTTTAATAAAATATTAGTTATCTTCTTTATCAGCCTGTATTAATCCACTCCTGAACATAGAGCTCTTCCATTTCCTTCCATACTGACCTGTTTTGGATTGGGAGCATCCAGTTCTTTCCCGCTAGTTTCTGTATGTCGTCTCGCCATCTTAGCATGGGTCTGCCTCTGCTTCTCTTTGTTCTCCGTGGTCTCCACTGCATAACGATCTTCGTCCATTTCTCATCATTTCGCGCAACGTGTCTTTCCCAACGCCGCTTGTTTTTTGCAGTTTGTTCTATGGCGTTACTCATTTTGGTTCTTGCCCTGATATCTTCGTTCCTTTGTCTATTTCTTAAGCGAATTCCCAGCATAGCACGCTCCATCGCACGTTGATAAATCCGCAGGTTTTGTGTACTTTTCTTAGTCATATTGACTGTCTCGAGCCCGTACAATATAACTGGTAGTACGCAGGCATCGTATATTCTCGGTTTCAGATTAACTAGTATCTTCGGTTCTTTAAGGATATATGTGAGTTTTCCAATGCTGCCCATGCCAACCTGATTATAATCCTTATCTCGGCTGTCTGGTTTTTCGTCAGGCTCTTTGCCTAGCCTGATGTTGTGTCCCAGATATCTATATTCTTACACTAGTTGAAGTGTTTGGTTATCGATATTGACATTGGTGTTGGTGTTGTTTGAAGTCATGATCTTCGTTTTCTGAAGGTTCATTTCTAGTCCTACCTTCTGTGACTCTTTCTTTCGTTCGCATACCATGGTGCTAAGTTCGTCCTGGTTGGTGCTCATAATCACAATGTCGTCGGCGAATCAGAGATGACTCAAAAATCTTCCGTCTATGTTGTCTCGCTTTTGTTGCCATGTCAAGTTCGTACACACGTCTTCTAATCCCAGGGTAAATAATTTTGGAGAAATTGAATCGCCCTGTCGTGTGTTACGCCTCGCCGTATGAGGATCTTATCGGTTGTCATATTTTTCTCTATTTTGACATGTTTTGTACCACCCTTGTAGATATCTTTGATGAGGTTGGTATATGTTGAGTCAATCCTTGCAATATCCTTTGCCTCTGGCACCGCCCAGGTTTCTATCGAATCGAAAGTTTTTTGTAGTCGACGAATGCGAGGTGTAATGGGATATTATATTCGGTACACTTATCAATAAGAGTGCGTACCGTTTGAATGTGAGTTTTTGTACTAGACCGCTTCGGAACCAGACCTGTTCCACGGACCAGTAGAAATCAAACTTTTTGTTGAGTCGGTTGGTTATGATTTTGGTAAGTAGCTTACACAAAACGGACAAAAGACTGATCGGTCGATAGTTTTCGATGTTGGTTCGGTCGCGTAGAGAGTTTGAAGAGAGTTATTATATTATTTATCCAGGCGTCGGAAAATTTTCCCTCCTCTAGGCATTTGTTAAGAAGGATGATTAGTGCTTTCTCCAGAGTCGTTGCCCCATTCTTCGCCATGTCTGTTGTAAGGCGGTCTTCTCCTGGAGCCTTTCGGTTTTTCATCTGCTTTAGTACCATTTTCAGCTCTGCAGTCTCAATCTCCCGGATATCCTCGGAGACCTCATTCAGGACCACCTGGTCTATACGGTTTGGCTTAGGTATCGATTGGCTGTAGAGTTCCCTGTAAAGTGCTGGATAGTTGATGTGATCTGTTCCCTCTCTGCCACGACTTGTCCTTGTTGGTTCTTAATTAGGTATATGAGCGAATTTCCATTTGCCCTTTTTCATCGGAGGACTTTCATATTCATGTTGTCTTCGATGGCTTCTTGTATGATCTTTGTGTTATGAGATCTTAGGTTACTTTTAATCGCTTTCTTTACTCGTGTGTCTAGTTCTCGGTATCCTATTGAATCTCTGTCCATTTTTCTACGTTCTGTTGGGAGTGCGTTAGAGCTATGGCAGAGTTTCGTGTTAGTTTTTCCTGCCATGGAACATACTTTTTTGCGCTGCTACTTATATGGTCATTTATACCCATATTTCTCAGATCTTCAGTTTGTTCTAGTCTTTTGTTGATTTGGGCGTTGTTTTCTTCCATTTTGTCTTTGAGCTGATTTCTTGTTGGACGAAGAGCTTTACCGATTTGCTTTTTTCTCTTCAAGCGCGTGTTTCTATTTATTGTGGCTCTTACGATTCTGTGGTCGCTTCTGGTATTAAAACGGCTAAGAACTGATACATCGGTACAGGACCGTCTATCCATGGTGAGTATATCGTGAATTTCGGTATTAACTGCGCCATCCTGGCTTATACATGTCAATTTTCTCTGATGTTCGTTCTTGAAAAACATTTTCATGCAGTTCATTTGTTCTTCATTCATAAAGTCAAGCATCATCTCTCCTCTATTGTTTCACGTGCACAGTCCAAAATTACCGATGTTAGGACTGTCTATCGCAATTTTACGACCTATCCTAGCATTGAAGTCACCAATTATAACCTTCAACTTCGTATTTTGTTGGTTTTTAGCTGTCGTCAGATCTCCATTAAAT